TGCATCCCCTGCCCCCCGCAGTCCCTTCCAGGGTGTGTATGGGAGGTGTTTGTGTGTCCCAGCTTCCCCCTCCCCCCCTCAACATTCCATTTCCAATTTCCTAACGAAATAATTTATTTCCTCAACACCCAAAGTTCCCCCAGGGACATCCCAGGGATTCCCAGAATGTGGAATTGGCTCCAAACCCTTCCCAGGATGAAAAGATCCAGGAAACACCCCCCCCCCCAAAAAAAAAAAAAGCACCATGAGATGGTTTTTGACCCCAGAGTGGGAAATTTTGGGGGTATTTCCGAGGATGGAGGATGGGGGGAGAAATCCAAGGAGAATTCCTCATTTTCCCACTTCCCCAGCTCTGAATCTGGTGGGATCGTGAAGAAGAGGGTGAAGAAGAGCAAAGAAAACATGTCAACGAAAGCAAAATCAAGAAAGGTCTTGGTTTGGGTGTTCCAGGTGGAACAACACATGGAATGGTTGAAATGAAGGCAAAGGCTGAAGGAGAATTCCTGGATTTGGGATGATGTTGGATGGCGGAGACACCCGGAGCCGTCGTGACATGTGGGGCAAGTCCTGGAGCTCTGGAGGGTTTGGGCTAGAACCTCAGCTCCTGGCAGTTTCCCCATTCCCACCTGGAATGGTGGTTCCTAGTGGGTCCCAGTTGGGATGAAGCTTCGGGATTTGTCCACAAGGAAAAAGAAGGATAAAAAAAACACCTCAAAAAAGACCTTTTTTTGGATCTCGGGAGGGTTCCTCAAATCCCCTTGAGTTGCTTCTCTACATCAAAAGTCCTTCCTGCAGCTTATTCTTCAGGAATGCTGGTGGATCAGTGAATGCCAGGAAAAAGCTGGAGACCTGGAGAGGCTGGAAAAGTGTCAGAGTCAATCCCAGGAATCAAAAAATTGGGATTTTTTTTTCCCAGTCTCCTGGTGGGTTTTAGTGCATCAGTTCCCAGGGTTCTGGTTTCTCTTCATCCCAACAGTGCAAAGGTCAGAGGGTTCTTGGTTTTCTGTGGGGATAGAATGGGAAGAAGCTACAAAAAAGTAGGAAGAAGCCACTAAAAAGTGGGAAAAACAACTGAACAAGGCACAAAAATGGGGCAAAAAGCAGAAAAATGATCATTTCCTGGTTGAAACCAGAAGAGATTGAAACGAAACCTCAAATGCTGCTGGTTTCTTGCTCCCATTGAGTTTTACTGGCTCAAAGGGAAGAAGATCCACAGCTCCAATGGGATTTCTGGAAGAGGGGGAGGGAGAAACACCCACTGGAGCAGGCAGAGATTCCAAATTTTTTCTTCTTCTTGGAGTTTTTGCCTCCATTTTGCTTTTTTCCCCCTTTTTTTTTTTTCGGAAGCGTCGCAGGGGTTTGAACCTGTGCAAAACCAAATTCCAGCCCCCTCGTCCATCCTCTTGCTTCCAGTGCTTTGGAATGACCCCAGAATCTATTTGAGGATGTTGAAAAGAAGAGGAAAAAAGAATGAAAATGGAGGGGTTTTTTCTTAGTCCTGGTGCCTGGTTTTAACTCCTCCCTCCTTGAGGAAAAGCCCTTGGAGAATGAAGCGGATCTGACGCCGACGGATCCGGAGGGGAAAAGAAACATCTCCCTTAGGAAATTTCTATGGTTCCAAGTTTCCAGAACGTCTATAAAAGCAGAAAGTCATAAGAATATTCTCTCAAGTCCATCTTTTTTTTTTTGTTTGTAGAAAAAAGGGAATAAATACTATTTATAGCCGGGATGGTCGTTTCTCCGGCTCCCGACGGGATCGCTCCCAGTTATTGCTCAGCGATGGATTTGGGAAGGGGGGGGAGGGGGGCAAAAAAAATGAGGTTTTTCTCTTTTTTGTGGGATTTTTTTGTGCTAAAAGGGGTGGAGAGAAGTTTTGTTCAGCTCTCCGAGGTAGAAAAAAATCCCCCCCCTCCCCAGTTTGTCCCCGAGATTAAGTGGGAAAAGGGAATTCTTGGAGTGTTTGACTCCAGAAGGGAAGAGGGACCAGTTGGGTTTAGGTAGGAGAGGAAAATGCCCAGCTTGGAGGTGTCCTCTGTGGTCTCCTCGGGTGGCATTCCCAGCGAGGCTCTGGATCCAGGAGGGTGGGTAGAATATCCAGCAGGGCTGTTCCCTGGAATATTTGGGATGAGCTGGGAATAACCCTCATGGCAGCTCAACTCTGCTCCCTCCGGGATTGAATCCATGTAAGAGGTTGTTTCTGCCTTGGGATCCTGGACCTGCCTCAGGATCCTCAGCTCTGCCTTGGGATCCTGGATCTACCTTGAGATCCTTGGATCTGCCTTGGGATGCTGGATTTGCCTCAGGATCCTTGGCCCTACCTTGGGATCCTTGGCTCCACCTTGGGATCCATCCCAAGACTCCAAAGTTGGGTCCTACCACCAGGTCAACCATCAGGTTGCTGATGTCCCTGGGCAAAGGGAGCAGCTCTGGAACACCTTGTGGGGGTGACAATAAGCCAGAAGAATCCCTGGTGGAGGGTTTGGGAAGTTAAAGCTGGAATATTCTCCAAGTGCAGCTGGAATGTGTCGAGGACTTTGGGATGGGAGCAGAGCTGAGCTCCAGGGAACTGATGTTCCCAGTTCCCTTGGGTTTTTGATGTGCAACAAAAGGGTGGAGAGGGCCGGGGTGGGGAGACCCTCCCCCCAACAACAACAACAAAAAAAGATGGGGAAGGGAAAAAGCGCCGGGATTGGCTCCTCACGGAGCAGGGGGAGGTTTGTGGTCGCTGGGAGACTTCACCCTCCGGAGGCCGGAGCTGGAATAACCCTCGTCGCTGCAGACGCTGCGCGGGCTCCTCCGCTCCTCCCAGTCGCTGGGAGAGCTGCTGCTCCAGTCCAGGTCTGCTGGAAGTTCATCCATGCTCTCCACATCCACCTCCAGGTCTTCTGAAGGAGGAAAAGAGGAAGGGTCAGAAGGTGGTTGGTCCAAGTGCAGCAGCCCCACGGAGGTGAGGGAGGGGGTCTCACCTCGGTCCGAGTCGGAGCGCTCGGAGGAGATGGTGGAACTGGTGCTGTCCATCCTGGTCCTCTCCACCCCCAGCTTCTCCAGCTGCCTCTGGAGGTGCCGCTGCTCCCGCTGGAGCTGCTCGATCTGGTGGGCAGCTCTTCTGTCATAGTCCTCCAGCTTCTGTGGGGAAGGGGAGAGGAGAGACAACCAGGAGTGAAACGGGGACTTGGGCACCACCAACTGGGCTTCGAGGTGCTCCAGAGCCTGAGGACACGAGCCAGAGGGAATGGTGCTTTGGGTTGGAAAAGTCCTTTGAGATCATCCAGTCCAACCCTTACCCAGCACTGCCCAGTCCCCACTAACCCATCTCTAGGGCTTGGAAACCCCTCCAGGGATGGGGACCCCCCCTGCCCTGGGCAGCCTGGGCCAGGGCCTGACAGCCCTTTCCATGGGGAAACTGACGCTGCGCGGGCTCCTCCGCTCCTCCCAGTCGCTGGGAGAGCTGCTGCTCCAGTCCAGGTCTGCTGGAAGTTCATCCATGCTCTCCACATCCACCTCCAGGTCTTCTGAAGGAGGAAAAGAGGAAGGGTCAGAAGGTGGTTGGTCCAAGTGCAGCCCCACGGAGGTGAGGGAGGGGGTCTCACCTCGGTCCGAGTCGGAGCGCTCGGAGGAGATGGTGGAACTGGTGCTGTCCATCCTGGTCCTCTCCACCCCCAGCTTCTCCAGCTGCCTCTGGAGGTGCCGCTGCTCCCGCTGGAGCTGCTCGATCTGGTGGGCAGCTCTTCTGTCATAGTCCTCCAGCTTCTGTGGGGAAGGGGAGAGGAGAGACAACCAGGAGTGAAACGGGGACTTGGGCACCACCAACTGGGCTTCGAGGTGCTCCAGAGCCTGAGGACACGAGCCAGAGGGAATGGTGCTTTGGGTTGGAAAAGTCCTTTGAGATCATCCAGTCCAACCCTTACCCAGCACTGCCCAGTCCCCACTAACCCATCTCTAGGGCTTGGAAACCCCTCCAGGGATGGGGACCCCCCCTGCCCTGGGCAGCCTGGGCCAGGGCCTGACAGCCCTTTCCATGGGGAAACTGTTCCCAAGATCCAACCTCAACCTCCCTTGGACAACATCTGGAGCGTTGCTTGGGGTTGGTGTGACCCAAGTGCAGGACCCAGCACTGAGCCTGGTTGGACTTCATGCAGTTGGCCTTGGCTCACAGATCCAGCCTGTCCAGGTGCCTCTGCAGAGTCTCAACCCACCAATCCCTCACTCCCAGAGCTCCAAACACACCCAGATCCATCCAGTTGCATCACGACGGACAGAGCGAGGAAATCACAGGGAAAAGAAGGAGGCAAAAAGCAGTTGTCCCCAAATGCCACAACCAGGCTCATCCCTGAGACCTCCAGGCACACCCCATGGGGCCAGCACCTCCATTCCTGGTACCTGGGGGGGTTCAGCTCACCTTGATGTGCAGTTTGGCTTTGGTGAGCAGGCTGAGGGTGGTGTGTCTGCCAGCGGCCGGGCCCAGCCCCACCAGCCCCTTCAGCTTCTCCAGGCAGAGCCTCAGGTGGGCACGTCTGGAAGGGGACAGACAGACAGACAGAGGCATCAGGTACCACCTCCCAACCAGCATTTCACTCCCCCCAGCACGGGCTGTACATGGACATAGGAGGGATGAGATAACAGGGATGGGCTAAAACTGGGATTGGGGAGATGGAGGTTGGACATAAGGAGGGAATTCTTTGCTGTGAGGGTGGTGAGAGCCTGGCCCAGGTTGCCCAGGGAAGCTGTGGCTGCCCCATCCCTGGGGGTGTTGAAGGGCAGGTTGGATGGGGCTTGGAGCAGCCTGGGCTGGTGGGAGGTGTTCCTGCCCACACAGGACTGGATAGTCTTTCAGGTCCTTTCCAACCTAAACGAGTCTGGGATTGGGTGATTCAGTGATATTCAAGGTCTTTTCCAACCCAAACCCATGATCCCATGAAATCACACCATAGTGGGATGGTTCTGCACCACTCCAGGAGCTTTTCCTTCCCCTGCTCCAGAGAAGAGCTCATTTGAAACCCCAGGGGTGTGGTTTCCATGGGAAACTGTGTCCTTTGTGTGGGGACAAACCCCTGATCCCTCCTGCGCCCCAAACAAGCTGGGCAGGTACTTGCAAAACCCCATTTTGCAGCTGCTGGTTTCAGAATTCCAGGAATTCCAAAGGTGGATTTTGCAACCAGTGCCCGTGAAGGTGACCTAGATCTTGGGATTGGAAGGATGGACATCAGAGAAACCAAGCCATGGTGGGAGCACCTCAGGTTGGCCAAGGATAAAGGGGTTTCATCAAGGAGCTGGAGTTTCCTTCAGCAGTGGGAAGGACAGACAACACTTTGGGATCAGGAGGGATTTCCAACAGGTCCTGGTGCTGCTGGTGTTCCCTCAGGAATTTGGTTTTGCTCCAACCAGAGTTGGGTGCTGAAGGTGCTGGATCCCAAACCAGCCCATTGCTAATCCAAACAAGGAAAGGAAGCATTCCCAAGGGAGCCCGGGTGGTGCCACCTGGGACTGATCCAGCACATCCCTGCCCTCCTTTTTTTTGGGAGAGACCAAAAATGGAGATGAAGACCCAAAAAGTGGAGGTTTTTTTGGCAGCTCCTTGCCAAGAAATGTCCCAGCAGCTCGGAAGGTGTTTTGGCTGAAGCTGGAGTTGGGTTTGATGGAGACTGGCTGTGGTTTTCTCCTGATTTATGGAAACCACTGGAGGGTGGGAAGGTGTCTGGCTGGGCTTTAGCATCCAACCATCCAGATGATCACAGAATCATGCATTGTTTGGGGTGGAAAAGACCTTGAAGATCAGAGAATCAACCAATCCCAGACTTCCTGAAGCAGCCCCTGACTCTGGAGGCTGGAACAGCTCCTGAGGGGCTGCAGCCTGTGGGAAGGATTCATGGAGGAGTTCATGGAGGATTCTCCCATGGGAGGGACCCCGTGGGGAAGCAGGGCAGGGCTGTGAGGAATCCTTCTCCCTGAGGAGGAAGGAGCAGCAGGAACCACCAGCCCATGAACTGACTCTAAACCCCATCCCCATCCCCCTGTGTCACTGGGGGGAATCATGGAATGGTTTGGGTTGGAAAGACCATCTAGATCCAACCCCCTGCATGGGCAGGGACACCTCCCACCAGCCCAGGCTGCTCCAAGCCCCATCCAACCTGCCCTTCAACACCCCCAGAGATGGGGCAGCCACAGCTTCCCTGGGCAACCTGGGCCAGGCTCTCACCACCCTCACAACAAAGAATTTCCTCCTCATCTCCAACCTCCATCTCCCTCTCCCAGTTTTCATCCATCCCCCTCATCCCATCCCTCCCTGCCCTTGTCCCAAGCCCCTCCCCAGCTTTCCTGGAGCCCCTTCAGGCACTGGAAGCTGCTCTAAGGTCTCCCTGGAGCCTTCTCTTCTCCAGGCTCAACACCCCAGCTCTCCCAGCCTGTCTCCAGAGCAGAGCTGCTCCAGCCCTCCCAGCATCTCCGTGACTCCTCTGGACCCTCTCCATGAGCTCCATATCCTTCTGATGTTGGAGGCTCCCGACCTGGACGTGTTTCCCTGTGAGATTCAGGGATAAGGAGCCAACCTGTGGCAGCAACAGCAGCAAAACCCAAATCCTTAGCTAAAAAAAGAAGCAAAACCCAACCTGCCTTGTCCCACTGGTCCATTCCCAGGAACAGAAGGGATGGAAAAACCCCAGCAGGAGTTGAGGGAGGAGGAAGAGCAGAGCATCCCACCCTGCCCAGCCCAGTTCCTGGATTGCACAAGGTCGGAGCTGCCGCTGTTGTTTCCGCTCTGAGGTTCCAACAGGAGTGTCCCTAAGAGCCCATTTCTGCCTCTCCTCACCCTGCTGGGCTGGAAAACCCGCAGGGATCCCACGGATTGGTGAGAAAAATGATAGAAAAACCCCACTCTCCAAGGATTTTGGTTTTCTTTTTCTCCAGGAAAAGGGTTTTCCAAACCCACTGTCCCCTTCCATTGCGCTCCCTCCTGGCACCAACCTGGGCTGCTCCTCCTGCCTGGGGGGGAAAAAAAGACCCCCCCCGATTTTGTTGGAGGCCAAGACTGAGGAGCTCGAGGGGATGAAGGGATGAGAGAAGTGCAGGAAGAAGGGGAGTGGAATTCCTGGCTGGAGAGAAGCTGGTTGGAAGGGGTGGAACAGCCTGAGCGTTCCCTGCACTTGTGCAACTGAATTTTGACACCAGTGGAACGAGGGGAATGGGGGGTGAGGTGAAGCCCAAGGATCACACGCTGCTTTTCCTGGGCTTTTCCAACCAGGAATGGGCATCCCTTGGTCCTTCCTTCACCAGGAGGCTGTGTGGTCATTCAGAAAGACCTGGACAGGCTAGAGAGCTGGGAAAAGAGGAACCTCATAAGGAGAGTCCTGCACCTGGGGAGGAGCAACACCAGGAACCAGGACAGGCTGGGAGCTGAACCTGCTGGGAAGCAGCTCCCTGGAGAAGGACCTTGGAGTCCTGGTGGACAACAAGTTGCCCACGGGACAGCAATGTGGTCTGGTGGCCAAGAAGGCCTATGGAATCCTGGGGTGCATTAAAATGAGTGTGTCCAGCAGGTTGAGGGAGGTTCTGCTCCTCCTCTGCTCTGCCCTGGTGAGACCCCACCTGGAGAACTGTGTCCAGTTCTGGGCTCCCCAGTTCCAGAGGGACAGGGATTTACTGGAGAGAGTCCAACAGAGGCTACAAGGATGATGAAAGGACTGGAACGTCTGTCTGATGGGGAAAGGCTGAGAGACCTGGGGATGTTCAGTCTGGAGAGGAGAAGACTGAAAGGGGACCTTATTAATGTCTATAAATGTCTATCTGAAGGGGGGTGTCAGGGAAGGTCCAGGCTCTTCTCAGTGGTGCCTGTGACAGGACAAGGGGCAATGGACACAAAGTGGAACACAGGAAGTTCCACCTCAACATGAGGAAGAACTTGTGTCCTGTGAGGGTGACACTGGGACAGGCTGCCCAGAGAGGCTGTGGAGTCTCCTCTGGAGGCTTCCAAGACCCACCTGGACATGTTGGTGTGACCTGCCCCAGGTGATCCTGCTCTGGCAGGAGGGTTGGACTTGATGATCTCCAGAGGTCCCTTCCAGCCCCACTATCCTATGATCTCATGATTCTAACCTGGGAGACTTGAGGAGCCACTTGATCAAGTTGTCTCCACCTTCCCAACCCCTGGAGAAGGAACAACTCGTCCCCCCCAACACTCACCGGTTCTTTTCCATCTCGTTGTGAGTTGACCTGAAAAAGAAAGAAGAGTAAGTGATGGGCTGGGATTGGGTGCATCCCAAGGAGGACTGAGGGGCACTTCCCAGAGGATCTGCCACCTGGGAAGCTTCCCGAGCTGTTCCATCCCCTGGGAATGGTGGGAAATGGTGGGAAGGGACCCAGAGCGTCTGGAGACAGGGAGGGGTGACCCAAGAGTGGGAAGGGCTGGGGAAGTGGTGAGGTGGGGGCTGGAAACCATGAGGGGGGCTGGAAATCCACAAAGTGGGGTTGGAAATCCACAAAGTGGGATTTTAAGTCCACAAAGTGGGATTTTAAACCTGTAAAGTGAGATTTTAAACACATAAAGCAGGATTTTAAATCAAATCCCTAAGGTGGGGTTTTTAAATCCATAAAGTGGGATTTTAAGTCCAAACCCACCGGATTCCAGTGGAGACATAAATCCATTTGGATTCATAATAATTACAGGTTCCCCAGTTGCTGGATTTGAATTTGGGAGGAGGGGTGGGGGCTCTGGGATCTGGGGCCAACCCTCTCAGAAAGCCCCACCTGGATGATGTCCAAGGGATTTTAAGGTTATTATAGGGATAAACCACACCAGGAGCTGGGAAGAAAGCAATGGGTGGGGTCTGTGACCAGGACATGGATTCACCCACGGAGATGGAGGGATAACTAAATATTCCCTGGAAAAGATCCCAGGGTGGTGGGATCTGCTCCCACAAAGATCCAGCTTCTCCCCAGTGCTTCAGCACTCCCAAGAAGGGAACAGTGAGGAACAAACCCAGATGGGTTCAGGTGGGTAATGATGGGATTCCCATTTTCCCAAGGGTGGGGGAGGGGGGGGTCCGGGG